TGAGGGTAACAGAAGGCATCTGCCATTTGAGAGAAGAATACATTCTATGAGGGTAATAGAAGGCCTATCTTCTATCTGAGAGAAGAATAAATGAGGCAGTCAGAGAACAACTTCGTAACCAGTTTCAATGATAAAATAAGTTACTCAGAGTTTTACGGACAGTCAAGCCTAAGCTAATATCAAGGGGAAGAAGAAGTAAAGGATTTGTAATCTAAGGGGATATAGAAAAAGAAAGGAGCCCCTTAAAACTCCTGACAAGACACTACATAGCATAAAGTTTACCTGATTCAGTTTTACTCGTATTTTGGACAAATAAACAGCGGCGAATTTTGGGGAAACAAGAAAAATAAAGTTTGATAAATAAAAGTGACCTCTGTCGAGGTAAAATTTCATGAAATCAGTAAACCGATGAGCCCGAAATTAGTGCAAAACTTTCAGACATCGTATCGTAGAGATTGTTAAACGAATTCAAAACACCGGTTTGAAATAGTCGAGACACCAAACTAGGCTGTAAAACTACATCAAATGGAAATAAACAAGTCGTTATCACAGGTATCGTTCCCGTATAAAGCTCGTGTTGACGGTTACACAGCATGGCCAGATGTTTGTCATGAGCAACTTCAGGCGCCATATGTTACGTCCCTCCAATAAGAAATATTCCACGCTTTTCTCTCATTATCGGTGGTGGCCGGAAGTAGTCGGAATTCCGATGGCTGTATTATTGACTAACTTCCTCATCATTAAAAGTCTTGTCTAGTTTACAGTTTTTTGATCTGCAGGATCATTATATCTTGTCTAGTTTACAGTTTTTTTAATCTGCAGGATCATTATATCTTGTCTAGTTTACAGTTTTTTTTTATCTGCAGGATCATTATATCTTGTCTAGTTTACAGTTTTTTTTTATCTGCAGGATCATTATATCTTGTCTAGTTTACAGTTTTTTGATCTGCAGGATCATCATTAAGTCTTGTCCTAGTTTACAGTTTTTTGATCTGCAGGATC